GAAAATTCTTGTCGGTGGCGTTTTTTCCACCTCACAGAGGAGAGGGTTAAAAGACCCTATTGATTTTCTCTCTCGTGGTCGCTGTTGCCAAGTTCGTACTATAAGTTCGCGTCACATCGCACGCGAGTTTTCTGTCAGTGCATTGCACGGTTGACCGACATGTATCATGTAAAAGTGAGATAGAGCGAAAGAGGGTCAGGAAAACGATAGAAAGAGACACAGAGATTTTCGCGATGGTCATCGAAGGAGAGACAGAATCGCGCGACATGACGAGGAAATGCTTTACGGATAGTAGGTGTGGTATCCGACGTATTTCTCAGCTCGTAGCCGTGTAATTATATGTTGACAACACGAGGCACACATTATACTCCGTATAGTATATATACGAACTGCTAATGCGAAAATTTAATGGACCAGAGAATGCACTTTAATGCGTCGTCGCATTTATATGTGGTTTCATAGCGTACGTGTTTCCGGTCAGTTAATCTCCTTCGATTAACGTATTATTCGCGCTTCGATCGAGATCCTACTTGATCATCGAGGTGCTGGCTTGCTTGTACTGCCCGTTTGTTCAGTATGTAATTCGAGGTGAACCAATCCCACTGATTGTGCTGATGAACATTTGAGCCAACGCCCGATTAAATTTCCGCGATTCCCCAACTTCAAAATGCATCGAAAAATATAATTGTCTGAAAAATCACAGCTGAGAATCTTATTATTAGAGAAATTTTAAATGCCAATATATTTTGATCCGTAGATTGAAATATCTTAGCAGAAGAGATTCTAGGAATGAAATTAAGCTAGACTAATTAATTTTTAAATGCGTAAATAGAGAGTGAAACTTTTTTCTTAAATTTTTAGGTATATATAATTTAACAAAATTTTGATTTATAAGTTACTTAAGAGAAATATTCTGATAAAAATAGAAGGGAGATAAAAAACTGTTCAAGATATATTATTTTAAAAATTTTATTTAAAAAATTTCGGTTTTTAATTTATTAAAGAATTGAATTCTATTACAAAAGGATAAAGAAGATTTAAGATTTTTATTGAATAGTTTATACGTTTGTTGTAAATAAAATATAAAAGTTATTAGTATGTAAAAAACTAAAGTTACTAGTATGTAAAAAAACTAAAAAAAACATTGATTTGAACAATTCTGAATAAATATTCAGCATTGGCTCTGAGTTAGTGATGCAGTCTTTGGAAACTTTAACGGAGAAGAAAATGTAAAGCACAAGAAGTCATGTCAAGTTTCTGTTTTCTTGCGAAGAAAAATAAGATCAATACATCAATCTCACATCATACAATTTTTTTTTCACTGCGAAAAGGACCTTTTTTCACGCAAGCAAAGAATGTTATCGTTACGAAAGGTTATCGATACGAATCTCTCGGAGAGAAAGCGTAATGTCAACCTATCGAATTTTCAATATTCGTCCATTCGCTCGAGTATAGAAACTTCGTAATTACAAGTCGGTCGCGAGTCTCTTTGTGAGAGTAAATTGAAAAGATTTTTAGAGAGGAAATGGGGTACAATTGGGAATGTATAGCAATGCTTTTTAATAACATACATGCAAAAATTTTTAATTTAGTTAACACATTGATAATATCAGTAGATTAATAGCATATTGATAACAGTAACTCTTTATATCTCAAACAAATGTTATTTTTTAAATAAAGATTTATTTAGTTTACATTGTGATTAACAAAAAGATTGAAAATTCCATGTTCTATTCATTTTATTTATCTTTATCAGCTTTTTATTTTAATTGCGATTTAATCTCGATGAAATTTTACTCTATGAAAAATATGATATTCTTTTAATTAATAAATTCGTTAATAATATTAATAATGCTAATAACGATATTAATATCACATATCTATAATAGTTAGTAATAATAGTTAGTAATAATTTAATTATTTTCTAAAATTATTATTATCATTAACAGATATTAAACTCGCTTTTTCGATCGAATAAAATAAATGATGGTGTAAAAATTAATTAAATAATTCATTACACAATATTTGAACTTTGACTTTTTCACATCAAATGTCAATATCTGATAAATGTCAATGAGCAATACTTTTCAATATCTGCACTGAAAGAAAAGATAGGCTGTTGCAGCAAATTTGATCGTAAAATATGGCAATGTCAATAGGATTTTGATAAGCTAACACAACCAAAAATTAGCTGCTGCGTCTAATTAAAAATGCTATGCAATATTCAGTCAATCTTTTCTTTCAGTATGCCGTTGAAAATTCTATGAGCCTTCGTATAAAAGAATTTATTAGATTACTCGCTGTTTTTTTCTTTCTTATTTTCTTTTCCGCAAGTTAACGATTGGAAATACATAATTTAATAAATACATTTTGGATTAATATTTTTCTTTAAACAAATATATGTTGGATATCTAATAAACTATAATAACTAATTTTTGGAAAATAATTCGGAATGTGAAAAATAAAATATTTGCATAAAGTCAAATTACAAAAAATTAAATATTTTAGAATAGAAAGACTTTATTTCGACAGTATATATACCGCACGTTATTATTTACCAAGATTGAAGCGTTATCATTCACGTGATAATATTCGAGTCAGCAGGTAATAGAATCGCTCCGTTTGTCGTTGCATTATTATCCCTCACAATGATTCTCTACATAAAATTATCACTATTATTACACGGAACTGTTTATCATACTTAACGTTGATAATGCTGTGCAGAATAATAGTCATGATTTATTCATCTAAAGGTAAACAATCTTTTCACGAATGTTGATTTGTGCATGAAAAATCTCATAGATAGGAAAGGCTTGTAAAAGCTTGTAAAAAATAGATATCTCTATATCAGGTAATGACGAAGTAAAATGCTGTTGCTGCTATATTATATTAATGAGTTAAACTATCTTTTAATTTAAAGTGTCTTTTAATCAAAGGATGTAATGAATTTATAAATATTATATGTAACATCTTATAAATCCATTTTCTTAAGAAGGATAATAACAATATCATTAATTATTAGAAGATAATTAATATTTTTTGCGTACTCACAATATGCGTTTCAAAAATTTTATTTATTCACATAGGTTATATGGCATAAATATATAATTGTGTTTTATCTAAAATTCGATAATTATTCGTACGTGCTCTATCACGATGAAAATGTTTACTTGCGTAACTTTATACATTACTTTATGGTATTATAATTTATCAAAACTTTCTGAATATTTTGTTGTAAAAAATAAAGTTCCATTTTTTTCGTATTTATTAAGAAAATATAAATATTGCATTGTATATTTAAATTTTACATAAGATATTTTCAAACAATTATTTTGAAAAGTATGCATTGTTAATACACATTAACAAATTAATAGAAACTTTTTAATGAAGTCGAATTTAATAAAAATACATTAAATTCTAATTTAACTTTTTAATTATATTACATATAAATAAAAAACGTTGAACCATTTAGATTACTGTTAAAAAATTAATTTGTTATCTACTCAAATTGCATTGCGTTTTAAATCGTATTCTATAAGTAATAATTGCTTGTAATCCAGAAATGACATAACATTAAATTTATCGCAACTAGAGATTATTTATAAATCTTATTTTTTCAATTTCATAGAAGAAGAAATACTTTTTAAATGATCGGAATACAATAGCTGCCAGATCTATAAGAAATTTGAATTCAATTATTATAAAACGTGTTATAAATTAACTAAATGAAAGAAAGAAGGACAGGATTTATTCCATACAACGTATAATGTTTTTGATTAGTATTTCATTCATACTTTTTTAAATATGGACTTCTGTAATAGTTTTTTTTTTATTTTTATTGTTAATGAATTAAGTCTATAGAAAGAGGAAAAAAGGTTAAACCTTTGTATTTTTGTTTACTTTTACTTGCAAAAAACAAACTGCGTAAAAAAACGAAACAAAGTTACTTCCAAAAGTTAGTTCTATTTGTTACTTTCTTTTCTTTCTTATCTTAAAAAATATTTTTCAGAAAAATTTGTTTTAAAAAGTATAATATATTATTAATACATACATATAATTAAATTTAATTTTTGTTTTCAATTAATTAACATATAAATGTATTATAGTAATGTATTAATGTAATTTGTATTATATATAAATGTATTATACATTAATAAAAGATATTGAATTATTAATATATATTACTATCAAATTACTAAAAGAATAATTTATTATTTGTTTAAACAAATTATAAATCAATATAATCACATAATGCACTGCATTATAAATCATCTTTTGTAATAGCAATTACGTGTAGTAATTATAATAGTAGTTCATAATAATAATAATTATTATTATAGCAGTACGGAATTATTCATGATATTTATTTTCTCATTTCTGGAGGATGTCCTTTAATCAATTGAGAGAATAGTAAGTGCCGGTTTTGCGGGGAAATTAAATTCAATTATTAAGTCATGTTAGATTGAAAGAAATAAATAGAGACAGAAAATCATCCTTACGTTTTCATGTTTATATGTGGTTCGAAGTAAAACTGATCATTCTCATTGCAATAGTCAATAGATAGAACCATGAGACAGTCCATACATTCGATAGAAGAGTTTGTTATTTTGTCTTCTCTTTTTTCTTAAAAACTATTTTGCAGAAAAGTTTATTTGAGAAATATATGTTATTAATTCATATTAATAAATAAATAGCTGCGTTCAGCAATGAAAACTAATCAATGAATGCTCAGTGATTATTTAATATTATTGATTCTTGTCTTTAGTTTTTCATTGGATTTAAGTGTAGCAATCAATTATGTTAAAAAAATCACTGAATGTTCACTGAGCTTTCTCTGCTAAATACAACCAATACAAAGTTCAAAAAATCGAATTTGATAAAAATTATTATAAATAATAGTTTGTTTTTTAATTCTTCAATCGTTACATAGAAATGTCACGTATAAATCAAGAGGACATTGTGAATGATTTATATTATAATATTATTAAAATATCAATTTCTTATCCATTTAAATAGATAGTATTGCGATGTATTATGAATTATCTTTTATAATAATTGTTTAAGCCGAAAATAATACAAACAGTTTAAATTTGTCGCAATTACGAATTATTCATGATACTTATTTTGCGCTTATCTAATAGACGAAGACATCTTTTAATTGATTGGAAGACAGTAGAGACCGGTTCTGCGAGAAAATTGAATTTAATTATTAAGTCATGTCAAATTAAAAGAAAGAAGTAGAAACAAAAAGTCATTCTCACTTTTTAGTGTCTACATGCGGTCCGAAATAAATCTGGTCATTTTCTTGGCAATGTTTGTAACGTAGGAACAACATACAGTCCTCGCATTTTGTGGCTAAATATTTTGTTTCGTTTCTCACGGCATCAGCATACCATTTCAATGCTTTAATGTGGCTGCAGTCTGATGCAGAAAAATGCATATAAAGTATATAAGATAAACATTAACAGTTCCACTTTTACTTTCCATTATATGATTCATATTTGTATATGTACATATACTATGCCCATTTGAAATAAATTATTGGACATAACATATTGTACATAATCTTTTAATTACACGTATACACAAAAATTAGATTAGTACAATTCTTTTAATATAAAAACATCTAGGCATTTTTTTTAAAATTTACATTATTAAAATATTTTATTTTTGTATTATTAAAACATTTTACAAATGATCATATTTAGTGTTAAGTATAGTGTACAATAAATAGGACGAAAGAACGTTAAAGAAAGGATAAGAAATTTTATAATTAGAATGTCAAGATATGCCAAATTGAATTACCATGTATGTCTATGTATGACGAAGTATTTGAATAACAGCCAGGCTGGGGTGCTGTTCCGGAATTGGCGTAAATATTAAGATTGCCTACATTTTGCACAAGGGAAAGTGCACCACGGTTTGTGTAAAAAGCATCCGTAAAATGTGCGACTGTCGGATTCATTACACAACCTTTGTACAAGTCATTGTAAAATAAAACTGCTGCGGGTTCTAAAGCTGTTTTTAATGATACATGTAATAAATTGATATTGTATAATGTTCTAACTTTCATTATATGAAAGTCTTTATCAATAAATTGACCTTTCTGATAATACTCGTAGATCTCGATATAACTTTTAGAATACATTTACTCATTAATAAGCATACATGTAACAATAATAATGACATATTTTTATGTTTATTGAAACATTAACTTTTTTATTCATAAATATGATTTTTAATTGTAGGACTTTTTAAATTGTAGAATTTACAAAACTGACTTATAAAGATTATTTCAAAACAAAATAATTATATAAACAAAAAATAATAATCATAAAATATTATTTGTCATGATACATAAATGTTTTTAATTCTTCGTAAAATTAGTCAGAATTTGTCGCTAAGAAACGTATCGATGGCGTTGAATAAATTTTAAAGAAGGTTAAAAAAGATTTTAAATTTTATAACAGTTTCTTAATCAATAAAATCATGAACTAAAAATAAGTAAAACGAAGATTAAGCAAATAACGATTTTTTTTATAACATACCTGTAATATGTGAAAAAGTAAAATTACTATATGTTCCAATGCAACCTGCAATGTGAGCACCCGTGGAATGTCCAATCAGATGCCATTTTGCTATTTCGTATCCTTTATTGTTTAAAGAGTTAAAAGTAGATGCGACTATCTGTCCGATTTGATCTAATCGAGTAGGAATTAATAATAAGTCACCACTTGTCAATTTGGACCAATCGAGTATTGCAATGACAGAGTTATTTTGTGAACAATAGGCTAAAAAATTAAAATATTGTATTCATCAATTTTTTTCTGTTAGCATATATTAATATCATCTTAGTGCTTTTTATATATATATA